CAAAGGGTATCGTTGAGCAAAATATGAGCAATTCACCAAAATGGTCGCTGACGGACGATTCTCGATCCTTACAGGCAGCCATTCTTAAAGCCCGTTTCTTTCAAGTTGATTATTCTTCCCTGCGTTTAAAATTTGTCTGCGCGGTCTGCAAGGTGTATTTTGATCAACAATGAAGCGAAAAAAAAAAAAAAAACATGATCATTTCAGCGTAGGGACTGTTCTCATCATGTCGATTCCAAAACTTTAATTCCAAGACTTTTAAGGTCTACACAGGTGTATTTTGATATCAAGAATGGAGCGAAATGAAGAAAAGAACCAGCGAGGTCATTTTAGTTTACGGCCTATGGCAACAGACACCATTTACTTTGATAATCCATGAACTCAGGCTAAAAGTTCGGCCTTTGTATCACCCCAAAGACGATAGCATGATGTTGAGAACAGAGGTTGCGATTCTCATTCTCAGTTTCCCACATCTTCAGCAGTGGGACGCCTTTGAAGACAATGCAGATTTGGTGACCAAAAAGGGAAAAGAATAGCTTGCATTTTTAAACTAGAAGGTTCTTGCATAAGCTCGAGGAATAAATATATCCCCACTACCCTTCCTGAGAAGTTTTTATGCTTGTGTTCTGTCGATTTTGCTGATAACTCGCAAGAGAGTTAGCTTTTGTTCAGGTTTATTGCTTTAAACAGGCAGTATGTAACCATAAGCTTTTTTTTTACGTCGAGAGAAGATACCCTGAAATTTTCTGAAACTCTACGGAAACGATCAAAGCAGAAATGTCGACCTGTTGACTGGTAATCAACTCACCCCAACCACAAAGGAACGTAACCGAGTAAATCACTTTGTGCCAGTCGACCTTTGCCGCCTTGCTAATTACGATGATGAACAATAGCAGTATGTCACCTTTTTTAAGTGTCAAACTGGAGGAGTACAGGGCGCAAAATAATAGCGTAATATATCCCTTAAAAAGAGGCTATTCAGGCAGAAGCCCGCCGAAATATTGACTTATAAGCAGCAATCGAGCTTTCATCACCGTAACGACCATGTGGGACGCAATAAAACGCCTAAACAACACTTTATTTCAAGAAATAATGGCTATTCATGAATAATTCTTTTTAGAAAAAAACTGCTTGCGGGAGACTGCGTAGGCTGAAAATTGCCTTGATGAACCCCTGCTTTCCCTTTTGTCAAAATATCCAAAATAACTGTCTGAAAGGGATTATCTATTTCTAGTGTATTAACCTTAGCAGTAACCATGCTCTTAGCCTAGGTAGTACAGTGCAATACAGTGTAATCTGGAATATAGTGTAATCTGGAACCTCCTGTTTATATTCACAAATTTGCGATCTCAGCACGCCTGTGTCTCATATTCCGTTATTTTACTTTTCAGGAATGACTTACTATTCGATTGAAAATCTTAGACAAACAACATCCCTGAAGCATGATAATGAGATTACGCAGTTTCTCTTCTTCAATAGCTAATCTAGTATTTCTAGAATATACTTATTCACAAATTTGCGATCTCAGCACGCCTGTGTCTCATATACCCTTACTTTACTTTTCAGGAATGACTTACTATTCGATTGAAAATCTTAGACAAACAACATCCCTGAAGCATGATAATGAGATTACGCAGTTTCTCTTCTTCAATAGCTAATCTAGTATTTCTAGAATATACTTTTTTCATGGCCATTGCGAAATTGATTTCAACTTTGATTAGTTGTTTTTCTTAAATGCAATCTCAGCGGGGAGACTTTAACCAGTCTGTCGGCGAAAAGATTAAGATAATCAGAGTTATGTAAACAATATCAACATCTAAATTATACCTGCGCCTGGATTCGGAGGAAAAAGCGACAACATGAATTATCAAAGGTTTTTGAATTTGCTACAGGTGAGCATGCCGACCTTTACATATGTCAACCTTATATTCCGATATGCTGAGAGATAAAACTATTTTTTAAGCTTGGAAAAAAATTTTTTCTTCCCCCTGTAGGTTCAAGTCTTGATTGCGCTAACTAGTAGAGGTCTAACGAGTGAAGGTATGTTTTTCTCGTGTCATTTTGTACCAAAGGAAACTTTGACGTCAAAATTGGAGAAGGCATTTCACAGGGTGTTTTTGAAGTTAGGATACCAAGCTAAAATATATTAACCTTGTGCACAGCGAATTTCTCAAGCCATTAAGGCCATGGAAACGTAATTTCCATGTTTAATATCAAACCGTTTTTTTCCAAGAGATTTTTTATGTAATCAAGCAATAAAATCATGAGCGTTTGTCGTTTTATTTTGTATCTCTCTGAAAGCTCGATAACGTGCAAAAATAGAACTTTCTTGACCTGTGCCACTCTGTTTTACTTATACGATAGTATTTAATCTACCCCATAATCGATAAATTATTGAGCCTTGGGCAAAGGAGTGAGAAATGTAAAGTACAAAACCTCCCCCATTTCCTTTTATAATTGTACTAAAAGTCACATTATGAATCTCGCAGTGGCCCCTGAAATAGTAACAAGTTTTGCCGCGAAGTACACACAAAAAAGTGTGACGTGAAAGCCATGTTTATTTACCAATGAGAGAGCGAGAGCTATATCGAATATTTTCTAAACCGGTAAATAAATTTAATTTCTCTTTCCCTTGCTGCAGTTCCTCTCTTACTCAGTGATTTCCTTGTTTCATTCTATTTAACGGACGAGGGTTCATTGGAAATTCTTGACAAAACAGAATATCCCTAGAACAAGGAATTCCTTCTAAGATACTCAACCTAAAGCTAAGTCGCCATTGTTGTTAACAACTGAAAGTTGTGTATTTTTTCTAGCCAATATGTTTTTTAACATAATGTGAAAAGCGGGCACAGAGAACAGCGCAGCCTGCTGTTAAATGATTCCGCGTTCTATTTCCAAGCATTGTTAAGGATTTATATAAAAATGATGCGAAAAATGAGTTAACTGTTTTAAATAGTCGATAAAGATAATTCCCTAATAGTAAACAATTATAAAGAAGAAAAATTTTGAGTAACTGTAACACGAAGTTTTTGGGACGCAGAAACCCTTGATAATTGCCTCAGAAATGCTGTTGGAGTTTCCAATTCAAGTATCATCCTTGACAGCTTCATGAAGGCAAGAAGCCACAGGGACAACGACCTACCATCATATGGACGTCTGAATGGTACAAGAGGAGATGGATGGTGCGCTGAAAAAAATGATGAAAAACAGTGGCTTCAAGTAGATCTCAAGAATATTTTTGAAGTCTGCGCTGTTGCGACCCAAGGAGATGTCAATGGCAATCAGTGGGTGATTGACTTCAAGCTAGAGTTCTCGAAATCCTATGAGAGCAACTGGCCCGCTTATAAGGATGCTCATGGCTCAGAATTGGTAAGATTTGAGCCAAAATGTCGTTTTAATCATATGCTGTATCGCAAGATCTTACAGTAAACAATTTGAACCCAGGATTAGCTCTTAGTTAGGAACCAGAGAACGTCCACGGAGATAGTTAGCGCTGTAGGTTAATCATCGCCCATAGTTCCTGTCAAAAGTGTGGTTCGTAACTGGATGACATTTAACAACGCGATTGTTGACGACACCATTTCTCGTCGCTAATTCATGTTCGGACAGTCTTGCGTTGAGGTTCCTAGATCTCACTGACCTAAACGACTCTACGTTTGGAGCATTTGATCGTTTAACCTGCTCTATCTGCCTACTATTTGAGGAAGTAAATGACTACGCCTTGAATCCGTCTGTGGGTGACGGAAATCGTTTGGTTGAAGGAACCATGCACACGAGAGTTATAGACGTACTTTTATTGTACGGTTTATTTACGGAAGTCGTTGCCGTTCGTTTCAGTATTTTAGCAGACAGGGGGAGGGGACATTTCGTTGAAGTAAGTCATTTCTATTGATTTTCTTGGTTTTACGCGGTATTTGGTTTCATCGGATAAGCTGTGTGGTGTGTTGCTTACTATACAATTCCTTAGAATCCTGATTTTAGGACTTTGTGTGATGTCGTTCCCCTATAACCTTATGTTCATTTATTTTCTCGTCACGGCTACGCAGGCAGTCTAGAAAAGGGAGCTTCCCTGTTTCTTTTTTTTCTGTTTTTTTTTTTTTTTTCTTTTTCGAGTGCTCTAGGAAACTGTATGTCTACCTTTTGGCCTTTTAATTAGTAATGCTATGCGTTGATTTCGCCTTGGAGTAGGGAGGTAAATATATCACCAACGTAGCATAACAGAATCTGTACCGTTTTTTGGCAGGTTGAAAGGGTACGTTCCTTAACAATCTGCACCTCAGTTTCTTCGACAATACAGAAAATAGCTGTTCCTTAGAGCTCTCAGAAATTTATATCGTTTTCAAAATCTTTCGTTAAGTACAATGGATTTTCTAAAACATGATGGAGTATTTTCCTCCTTATCATAGATATTTCATAGGGAAGGTGGATCCCACACAATTAACCAACATCCCCTGGACGTTCCAGTTTATGCAAGATACATTCGTTTTCTACCAGTTACTTGGAAACGCAGAATCTGCCTTAGAGTCGAGGTTTACGGAGCCGCTAGTAAGTTTGCATGCTAGTGCAACTTTTATTCGGCTATATAATGGTGGCATTTGATTTTACACGCAAAATTTAAGGAAACTCTAAAGCAGCTTATAATTTAGTTCGCTCAAATTTAAGCCTTAAACGATTTAGATATAATTCACAAATTAATGGATGATACCACTGGGATTTCTTCCTGACGGCTACGATTTGTACACTTCTTTTGGCAAATGCTTCCAAAGTGTTTTGCTAATTCAGTTCTTATCTACGAAAACACTAATTTAATAAAAGTGATGGAGATCGAAGATAAAGCTCAGAACTCAGGCCATTACAGACATTTTTGGATTTTTCTTGCAAAATAATTTCGAAACTTTCCTGACTTTTTTGTTAGTTCATTGCGATTATACTTCTTAACCTAGTGGCTTCTTTTTTTTTTTCTTTTTCTTTCATAAACCGAATGCACTATCATAACTACAGCAAAGCGTTTTTCGCATTCATTCAAAACCGTGGCCTGTATGAATACTTGACAACCGAAAATATTACGGCATGTATTAGATTTACTTGAAGTAGCAACTGCAATACAACCATGAGATTTATGTTTTATACAAAGCATTAATTCTACTTAGAGTGTGCAGAAGCTCAAGGGATGGATAGCGGTGCTATCACCGACAGTCAGATTAGCGCCTCTTCTCAGTGGGATCACAACGAAGCTGCTTATAATGGTAGACTTCACTTTAAAGAAGTAACATCAGGTTACAAGGCAGGAGCTTGGGTGGTTCGCACAAATAATGAAAACCAGTGGCTGCAGATAGATCTGATTAGTCGATACATTAAAGTAACTAGGGTTGCAACACAAGGAAGGAACAGCCTTAATATTTTTCATTGGGTAACCAACTAGACTCTGACTTACAGCAACGACGGAGTAAACTTCCACATTTATAGAGAACGCGGACACAGGGAAGCCAAGGTTTGAGAATAAAATAAAAAATAAAAATAGTATTAACTCTCAAATATTTTCGTTCCTCAAAGACGGAAATTAAAGTAGTTTAAATGACGACAACAAAATTGTGTTGTCAGAATTTCAGAAATAATTTATATTCTCTAGTAAAGGCTAACATTAAACAATGACCTTATCTTTATCGTAAAATAATCTGTTTCCACACAAGGTAGCACTAACGGATATTTAAGGACCATTTCAACACGGTGGATTCAAATTTGGCTCCCCGAGTAGAGCCAACCTAAGGTCATCGAATTCAGTACATGTAGGATAGGTAGTAAATTTAAGTTTTCAGTGTTGATTTCATTCTAGAATTTCGTTGGAAACACAGACAGAGACACTGTCGTGTATCATGACCTCTTCCCACCCATTAGAGCAAGATACATCCGTTTCCGACCAACAGCTTGGCATAGTACGATATCAATGCGAGTAGAGCTGTACGGATGTTCAGGTAAGTTGAATTTTGACTTGTTTAGTCAAGTCAAGTCATCTTTATTTAGGCAGGGTAGCCCTATCAGCCATAGGCTGGTATTAAAAGAGGCTCTGCGTAAAATTAAGACTACATGATAAAAATTTAAAAAATTTAAAATTACCTACCTATCTTATGTTCTACATAACATGTTTATCATTTCATCTCTTGAACATTAAGGCGTACGAACAGCAAAACTCACTTTCCATTTTATCTTTCTAACGCTTATTGGTTTGCTATTATTTACTTCCCCTTAAAACGTGAACTTAGCTTAGAATTCAATCAGCTCCCTTTCACATATCACATGCATTGCTTAGTCCTTCATGATATCTAATTTCATTTCTAAAATCAATAATAAAATGATAACAACACTATTTTTTTTCTTTAAGTTTAAAAGTTGATTAATATCTCGAGGTCGGCACCTTTTTTTTTTCCCTTTATATCTCAGTTTTAGACTTTTTAGACTTATTAGATTTACTTGAAGTAGCAACTGCAATACAACCATGAGGAAGGTATTTGCAGATGTGCTCTCAATTAAAACTTTGTGTTTATTTTCTGAAAATATAAAGAATGTCAAGACCCTTTTGGTATGGAAAACGGTGTCATTTCTGACGAACAAATTAGTGCCTCTTCAGAACTGAAAGCAGCTCATGCGGCGAAAATGGGCAGACTGAAAGCGAAAGCGGGAACGTGGTTGCCATCCAAAAACAATGTGGACCAATGGCTTCAGATTGATTTGCAGAAAAACGACGCCATCGTCACGAGAGTTGCCACACAAGGACTGAATACCGGAAGTAAGTGGGTCACCAGCTTCAATCTACAATATGGTAACGACGAAATTAACTTCCATTATTACATGGCACAAGGGGAGATAGTAAAAAAGGTACATTAGAGTGCTTACGACGCTTCTTTTTCCATAAAGAAAGCTAGTATTGTAAGAGAAACCTTTAGATTGTGTCAGAAATACCCTGGTTTGATTGTTTTTTTCCTCTTATCGTTCCAATTCATGCACGGTGATAGAAAAGTTGCACAAGACCTGCTAAAATATTCTTTAAACCTCTTAAAGAGGCTAGGAGTGCGGTCAGTTAGATATATCATCAGTAGGAAGAAAATCATCTTTTAAGGTACCACGTCAGCACCTTTTTAGAGGAGCATCTTAGACGAAATTGTTTTGTTTACTCCTACCATGACGACTGTTGATACCACCTTCCCAAGCTGACTTAGAACTGCCATCTTCACTTACACGTATTTTTCACTTATTTAGATTCTAATAAACAATTTTCAGAAATCAACGAGGAATTTCAATATCATATTTTTCTCCATCGAAGAAAGTAACGATTCATTTTGCTTTTGTTTTTCAAGACTTTTGATGGAAATGATAACAGGTGGACAGTAGTTTACCACACCTTAAATCCCTCCATCACGGGACGTTACATCCGATTTCGCCCAACTAATTGGAAAGGGGGAATTGCAATGAGGGTGGAGCTGTTCGGATGTTCAGGTAAAGTTAACAGTTGAACATAAGCTTTTATATCAAGATGTCACTAAACCGCATCTCGGACTGAATGAAAATGATGTAAACCCCAAATGAGGTTGTAATCTTCCTTTGCCCAATGGAAGCTATCCTTGCATTACACCGCACAGCCATGATGATAGGTTCATGGGTTCTCCTTCCTGCGAGTCAAAGCACCATCAGCTCTGACTAAGTAACAGTGATCATGAAACTGCATGCCGGGGAAACCAATATAGCTCATTTGGTGTTGGCCACGTGACTCATGAACCTTTGGGTCATGCACGTCGTTTACTCTTTTCTACCTTTATGAGAGAAAATATCCGGAAACAGGGAGCCTTATACCGAGAAGTAGAACTGAAATCACAAAACAAATGTAATACAACAAATGCACGAATTTGTCCGACGGCTTTCTAGTTCTAACCGCCTCCCGGTTAGCTCAATGGCTAGAGCGCTGGAGTGTTGTGCGGGAGGTCGAGGGTTCGAGCCCCGCCGGACCAACACTCAAGGTCTTAAAACAATTGAGAATAATTTGCTACCTTTCTATAACATCAAGAAATTGTTAGATATTCTAGTCTTCCCGGATAGGGACGAATAAATGGAGGTCCCGTCTCCTGCAGGGTTAGGAGTAGGAGACGTTAATTTCCCACACACGAGATTACTGTGTGATGGATGTCCTCCCCTGGGGTGGGATAAGCTTTTATANACCATGACGACTGTTGATACCACCTTCCCAAGCTGACTTAGAACTGCCATCTTCACTTACACGTATTTTTCACTTATTTAGATTCTAATAAACAATTTTCAGAAATCAACGAGGAATTTCAATATCATATTTTTCTCCATCGAAGAAAGTAACGATTCATTTTGCTTTTGTTTTTCAAGACTTTTGATGGAAATGATAACAGGTGGACAGTAGTTTACCACACCTTAAATCCCTCCATCACGGGACGTTACATCCGATTTCGCCCAACTAATTGGAAAGGGGGAATTGCAATGAGGGTGGAGCTGTTCGGATGTTCAGGTAAAGTTAACAGTTGAACATAAGCTTTTATATCAAGATGTCACTAAACCGCATCTCGGACTGAATGAAAATGATGTAAACCCCAAATGAGGTTGTAATCTTCCTTTGCCCAATGGAAGCTATCCTTGCATTACACCGCACAGCCATGATGATAGGTTCATGGGTTCTCCTTCCTGCGAGTCAAAGCACCATCAGCTCTGACTAAGTAACAGTGATCATGAAACTGCATGCCGGGGAAACCAATATAGCTCATTTGGTGTTGGCCACGTGACTCATGAACCTTTGGGTCATGCACGTCGTTTACTCTTTTCTACCTTTATGAGAGAAAATATCCGGAAACAGGGAGCCTTATACCGAGAAGTAGAACTGAAATCACAAAACAAATGTAATACAACAAATGCACGAATTTGTCCGACGGCTTTCTAGTTCTAACCGCCTCCCGGTTAGCTCAATGGCTAGAGCGCTGGAGTGTTGTGCGGGAGGTCGAGGGTTCGAGCCCCGCCGGACCAACACTCAAGGTCTTAAAACAATTGAGAATAATTTGCTACCTTTCTATAACATCAAGAAATTGTTAGATATTCTAGTCTTCCCGGATAGGGACGAATAAATGGAGGTCCCGTCTCCTGCAGGGTTAGGAGTAGGAGACGTTAATTTCCCACACACGAGATTACTGTGTGATGGATGTCCTCCCCTGGGGTGGGATGGGTGGGAAGGTGAGATCGATAGACTGAAGCGGCTGCCAGAGGCGCCTGATATGCTGACGTTTGTTCTCAACTTTACACTGCACCCGTAATTCAGCCTCTGGGCTGCAAGTGGTCAGATAGAAACTATATTACTGTAAGGAAACACGCACAGGCCATTAGAAATTTAGGAAGAAGTACGATCTCTATACTCTCTCTGACGGAAATAAAAGAAGCACAGGTCGGCAGACACACAAGCAGACAGACAGAAAGACATAAGGTTAGATAGGATAGGCAGGGTAGATAAACACAGGGACTTACGTGATCTTGAACGATTTCTGCAGATGTTGATGAATGTCAAGAGCAGACACATAATTGTCACGGGATGGCGCATTGTAACAACACAGTGGGTTCATTCAATTGTATTTGTCTTCAAGGATTTACAGGAGACGGTTTTGATTGCTTTGGTATGATATACGATTGACTCTATGTGATCAAATCTGTCTCAGCTAAAACCGGTAATATCCGGCTCTATAGAAAAGTGATATCCCGTAATCATTAATTATGACGTATCAGACGTAATGTTTATGTCAAGATATGATTGCGTTGTTTTGATCTTTAGGAAAATGGAATTCTTCTTCCGACGTACCAAAGAGTTATGGACGAGAAAATTTTGTGCCAAAAAAAGATAACTATTTGAAGATCGCCAACTCATTACCTCCTCACTAGCACAGAAATATGCTCCACTATGTTTTCTTGGAAAGTATGTGTATCCCGAAGCTCCCAGTTTTCAGCGAGCCTATCTCTCGAAAACTGGCTCTCTTCTCGGAAGAGGTCCGTAGTCCATAGTCAAACATCCGCACATGTAAAATTGATGAAGATGACTTCAAAGAAACATGTGCATGAATTCTTTTAAGCCGAACTGATACATTTATATTTATACAGCTCAGCGCGACTTTATCTCTTTATGTAGCCCTCATTTCTTGTGACATCAAAGGATACCTTGACATCGTTCCCAGTTTCTCAAATGGGGTATATTATAGATAACTTTGAATGATGATCATTTTTTACAAAACCGTCGAAAACCTTTTATCTCTGAATTTAAATAGGGTATGCGAAACAATTTGGATATATCAACAAAGTTGAAATGGTAAATTGGCCACCGTAACGATTTCAAAAGCTGACGTTTCGAGCGTTAGCCCTTCGTCGGAGCGAATAGAGGAATTGTGGGTTGTGTGTGGTTTTAAAGGCAGAAAATGGAGCTACGTTATTGGTGGGAACATGGCAACAAGAAAAACAAGAATAAATTACGGTGGCCAAATTACCATTTCAACTTTGTTGATATATCCAAATTATTTCGTTACTCCCACCGACGCAGCCCCAAACAGTTTCTTTCGAAACTATCAGCCTTTATGCGAAACAATGTCTCTAACGCCGACGAGATCGTTCTATCAGTAACGATCCAACGGGTAGAGATGGCTGGTATAAGTGGCACGGGGAAAACTAGATTGGCATCAAAGACACCTCGCACACTTAAGATTTGTTTGAGTTTGGCTCTATAAAACCAGCATATGAATAACTACCGCTATTTTGAGAGAGAAAGTGTTGCTCTTAATACAACTCTTGAATTAATTTCGTCTCGCATGCAGAAAGATAGTGCGTGCTAATATTAATAAATGCGTACTAATTATTCTTTGCTGGATTTTCAAGACTCAGTATGGAGTCTGAAGAAGATCACATCGATCCACATCCTATGTGACCACATCGTGAGACAAACGATTACCTTTTGTTTTTTAACTCGGTATGGAGATTTGCAATTTTAAAATTGTTTCAAGAAATGGAAGAGTTCACTAATCACCATATAGAGAACTTGTACACATGCCTCAACAAGTAAGCGCGTTAAAGAATTGAAGTTTCTGTTTCTGTTTTCTGTAAAATCCCTGCCTCCTCGCCTCAACTTGAAATAAAATACAACACTTTGTTTATGGTTACAGACAATGGCCATTTTCCCAATTTGATAGAAGAAAACTTCATTTTTCACTTTATGAATGCAAGCTTTTATTCCCTTTCTTGATGATCTTTAAACTACAGATGTAAACGAGTGTAAGAATGAACTAGATGACTGCGCTCCTGAAGCAAAGTGCTCTAATAGATATGGATCATTCATCTGTAGATGCCTACCTGGATACTCTGGAGATGGACGATTTTGCAATGGTACGTGGCTTACCGCTACGGAGTATATTGTTTACATTCTGAAAGAATTAATAGCTAAGCCTCCCTGTAAACTTCTAAATTACGTCGATGAAACGGTTTCAACAGAATTTAGATACTCATAAGACTGGATACACTGTCTGTCTGACACCTCAACGGTAGTTGAGGTGTCAACCGCCTCCCAGTTAGCTCAATGGATAGAGCGCTGGCCTGATGTGCGGGAGGTCGAGGGTTCGAGCCCCGGACGGACCAGCACTCAAGTTCTTAAAATAATTGAGAAGAATATGCTGCCTTTCTATAACATCAAGAAATGGTTTACATTTCTCTTCTCGGATAGGGACGAATAAATGGAGGTCCCGTCTCCTGCAGGATTAGGGGTAGGAGACGTTAATTTCTCACGCACGAGATTACTGTGTGATGGATGTCCTCCCCTGGGGTGGGATGGGCGAGTTGTTGTCTTGCGTTTCATACATGAGCCTCTGGCTCAGGCAATATGGGTAACCATGTCCCACGTAAAGAAATTAAACTTTGATTACTATCACTATTACTATTACTATTATTACTATTTCTATTACCCATGTCCCTTTTTTAACAATTAATCTTTCGTTTTTTTAAATTAAGTTTGATAGTAATCTCTGGTTCTGTCAGGAACAAATGCATGTTTCATTTTTTCATGTAGATATTGACGAATGTACCACAAATGTGCACAACTGCGACCCATGGTCGGTTTGTAACAACACAATTGGATCTTTTGACTGCACATGTATTAAAGGATATGAAGGAAATGGCACAACTTGCCTCGGTAGAAATATTTGCCTGTTCCAAATGTATCCTTTCTTGTTATCAATATCTGTTACATATTGATCAGTGTTAAAGCTTTAAACAACATTTTTACAAATCTGCAGAAATCGATGAATGTGCAATATCGACTCATAACTGTCATGGAGTTGCTTACTGCTTCAACAATCCGGGATCCTTTAGCTGCGAGTGCCGGAAAAACTACATTGGAGATGGGATATCATGTGAGGCTGACGGTAAGACTCAATTCAAACTTCAATGTTAGAGGACGTGGCTGATTTCAAGTTTTAGGCATTCCTACGGCCGAACAAGTAAGTACGAATACTTTGAGGCATTTGTGTCTAGGTTTGATAACCAAGTAAGCTGAGCCTCAGAAATCATAGAAGGAAATTGTTGTTTCTTTAAGGTTGAAAAATACATGCAAACGTATTTTCCATTAACATTCTTAGGAGATTTCTCAGTGACCATCAGAAGCATTTCAAAGGATAAGTATCACGCCACACCAGTGCAGCGTTCAGTCAAAAGTGTCCTTGAAGCCCTGATACAGGGTCTGCATAACGATTTAATTGTACTGAAAAGCACCTTTGAATGGAGTGTGGTTTCTGAAATGGAGCTAGCTGTCTCCGAGTCGGCTTTAGAAACTATAGTTAGTCAAGGGACGACAGAGTGGACAATAAAAAGACGATCCGTACCAGCTGGCATCTATCAAGTCAAATTCAATGCAACAATTACAGTTGGGGATCCAGTATCCCCACAGGTACTCAATGCTTTTGATTATGGCTTCATCGAGGTTATTGCAGCTCCAGTGCGAGCCATCATCGATGGAGGAAGCAGTGTACGGTGGGGATACAAAAACATTGCAACTGTGGATGGTTCCTTGAGTTACGATGCTGATATTGGCCCTGGAATACACACTGGGCTAAATTTCACCTGGTCTTGTCGGAATGATACCTCTGTCAGCAACACTTGTTTCGATTCTTTTCGTGGCGAGAGAAATATAAACTCCACAGTGATAAGAATTGAACCTAGTAAACTTGAAATAGATAAGACTTACTTTCTGCGACTGAGTGTGTCCAAGGATGTGAGAAGTTCCTTTACTGAAATGTCCTTTGCGATAGCTGCTGGAGAGGTACCTCAGGTTACTCTCAGGTAGTTTTTCGAAGTATAAACAATCAGTGTTCACAAGCAAATAATTCATAGCTTAGGAATTTTTCTTAAGTTCGATGAATTGCATGAGTAGCTCAAAACAAGCGCGCGTATGCATGTAAAACTGGATTTTTTTTAAAACTTGGCGATCAATTATAAAGATAAGATTATTTTTACTTGTGGAAAGAAGAAGCGGTAATAAGCAATGATATTGGTATTTTGCCTTTTCAAAAGGTAAAATCAAAATCTTGCAAGACCTTTGAAACCTTGCAACAAATGGGATTCAGAGCTTCATTAGGTTTGTCAAAATTTGGCTAACGTGATGCGCAGCTATCAGAGAATTGCTCATTAATGACGGGCAGGTACTGGTTTAAAAGAGTCCTATGACTTTGCAGCTGAAACACATTATTCGAGCGCGTTGTCCAATTTGAAACAAAATTATTTACTATTTTGGGCCTATGTTTTTCTTTAGTGGTTTACTTGTTTATTTTTCCTTCCTTTTTCTTAGATGCTTCGTGGATTGCGGCCCAGTGGTGTCTGCTTCAAACAAGTTCCGTGTGACATCAGAATGTCTTAATTCTCCCTGTAATGGATCCAAATATGAATGGCGCCTGTCCAAATTCAATGGCTCAGACAATTGGGTAAACATACCCATTTTACCCAATATGACTTCAACTGCTGTAAATGCGACCAATATGATCATCAAGAAGAATTCATTGTCATCCAGATCAAAATACAATCTCACATTATTTGTAACATCTTGGGAGGGGACATACGGTTTTTCTGTGCTACTCTTTGAAACGGCTGGAGAGCCACATAATGGCTATTGCATGCCGTCTGCATCTGAAGGTGTTTCATTGGAGACCGAGTTTACTTTCAAGTGCTTCGATTGGCAGGATACGAGCTTACCGCTAACATATGAATTCTCACTTGGAGAGGAGCCAATATCCTATGGCACATCACCCTCGTCTGTATCAACAGTTTTACCAGCAGGATCGCCGGAAAATGATTTCCAACTGCAAGTTACTATTGTTATCAAGAATTCAGTTGGAGTAGCTGTTGAACAGAAATTATCTATCAAGGTGTAGTAATTGAGACTATCGATAAATGTTTTTTTGCGAAGGAGAGTTGTTACTCAGCAGCGAATTTTCATGTTTCCCTATTTTGATCTATATAAAACATTATGTTTGACTCTTTTTTGTGCCTGCTAACCGCTTAAGTTTTCCTAGTTTATAACTCCCAAGATCCCTCAGTTCTACAGCATCGTGGCTAAGATCCATCGCATATATGTAATATTAATTCAAACGCCCACGAACTATTTTTCGCCGAAACAAAACTTTGATTTTCTTCTCTGAAACTTTTTCTTTGCAGGTAAAGCCATCATCTAGCCTCGATCTATGTGTTTCATCACCCGAGGACGTTGCAATCAAGTTAAAAGGTTTTGTAGTCTTGGAAGGTAATAAGCTTGATGGATTTCTCAACAAAGGGGAACTCAGTCAAGCTGTTCAACTTGGCATATCCGTCCTTAAGTCTGCCAATGAGAAAAACGAGTGTGGACTACAACTAGACCCCAAAGACAAAGCCTTGGTATGTTAAAAATACCCTGCTAAAGTTCAATCAATTGTTTTGCTTTTTCAAAGTTCTTATTTGCTGTAGTACTACACATTTTTATTGCGATTCTTTTCATCTTATGTGGTGGGTGAGCGTTGAATATGTTCGACACATTTCTTTTTGTTGGTAGATATCCAGCGCATTAATTACGAAGTTTACAGCCATAACACCAGAGAGTCTTGAAATGTCTCGAATGGTTATGTCCGTGGTGAGTTTAGCCATGGGGGCTGAGGTTGACGTCGACGGTAGCAGCAACAACATGGTGCGCCATAGAAGTATAGTTTTTTTCCCCTTTTTTCTACACTTTTTATCGCAAACAGATACGATAAATCAGTTGTGGCCTGTGCATGGTACTGCGAAACGTACTGATTCCCCGCTGCAAGTCTATTAACCTGAGATTGAATGCGTTTTGGAAGGCTACAGCTTACAAATTTGAAATATTGACGGTGTTTAATAACTAGTGCCTCCCTAATAGTAGATAAACTCGACTGCCGACCGACCAATGAAGCCACATGCTGCGATGGACAAAAATGGGCTCTTTCTTTCCCCCTGTTTACAAACTAATGAAACATTTTGACCTGTAGATAATAACAAGATAAGTAACGAACTTAAACTCACAAGTAAACCTAATTAAGAAGCTTGGGTTAAAGTAGATATTTTATGAACGGCCGGTTTTTTATTTTCCAGCACTGTGGTCCGTTTACCTGCAATTATCAATAGCCTAAAGAGTAAAATAATAAATGGGTGTTGTTCTTTTTTCGTCAGGAATTGACAATGCGACTGACTGAAAGTACGGCAAATATAATGATCTCCACCCTCAACGATCCAGAAGAGCCCTTTACACCGGCGTTGGAACAAACAGCTACAAGTGTTACAGGCTGTCTCACAAATGTTCTAAAGACAGCTGCAGGCTCGGGGCAAGATGACACAAGATCGCTAGTTACGCCACCTTCTCAAGAGGTAGAATCGGAAACACCACTTCCACATTGAAAATTTCTTTCCCCACATATTCCGTTACTGGAATTTTTTTTTTCTTACCACAATTTTAGACGATTTGGTTGATGGTGTTGTGAGAGCAGCCCAGGAAAACTACGAGTCTAAGAAATCGAAAGGTCTTTATACAAACACGTGATGGCTTACAATGATCTTTCTTTCTTTCCAGTTTGTTAAAAAGGCCTCTGAAAAACTTAACAGCATGAGTGATGCTTTCTTTGGCCGCTTAGTTCCATCAGAAGATCTGGTCCTACAAACTCCAAACTTGGCAATATCTCTGAAGAAGGTCACAGCTAATGATGCAAAAGGACTCAGCATGGGAGATGGACCAAGTAAATTCAAACTCCCGAGCAGCCTCGGAAATATAGGCGGTGGTGACATAAATGCAAAGGTAACATTCTGTTCTTATCTTAATTTCAGTTCACCTTATCAAATATGATAGAAGACGAAAGACATAAGTAATCGCTCGGTGATAATGACGTTTTGTTGTTCGTTAAGGCATTAAACTGCATGCACTTTATTCGTGTGATAAAATGTTAGAGCAATCTTTATTGATATTATCTGAGTTTTAGAAAGTGAAAAAAAAGAAAGAAACTTTATTTACCCTACAAAATGGATCAGCTATTACCGTAGTAAAAGCTGGTATCAACCCACGTGTAGCTATAATTAAATGCTCTCTAGAACTTCTATCTCTATAAATAATTCTAAAAATATATACTAAAAAACCTTAAAATACAAACTTAAAATATAAAAATCGGATACTTATATTCAAATATAAATATAAAAATCTAAAATATTGACAACTAGAGAAAAATCAACTCTAAAACTTAGTTAGTGAGCAACGATGTGATTTAACATCTAAATCTCTAAAAAAGTGGTTATGTTTTTAATGTACTTAGGAAAGCTGTCCCAATCAGCTGCTACAGAATACTGCAAAATTGTTTGGCCAGTTTTCGTTTTGACCTTAGGAAGATGCAGTAAAGTCGTATCACGTAAATTGTTTTTTTTTTTGAGGACATAATTTCATCGACAATAAAAAATTCATGATTCCTTTACTGAATCTTATTTAATTGACTAAAAAGGATCCCAGGAATACCGTAATTTCATTTGCCATACTTTCAAACAACTTAACCTATCATATAACTTCTTATCATGTATTCGACTGTTTGCATGTATGAAGTCCCAGTAATCGCAACTGACGTCTCAACAACCTTAGATGAAGTCATCACAAGAGTTAGGTGTTAGAGTTGAAGAGTCAGAGTCTAAGATAGTGTGTTCTATTTCAGATGCAGGCTGTTGATTTTAACCCTTTTACCTGGGACAATAGTAGCAAGAAAATCAAATCAAGCGTCACAAGTCTCGAGCTTAAAAGTACCAGCGCGGAAAAGATAAATGTGTCAAATCTTGATAACGACATTCAGATCGTCATTCCGATTTCTAACCCACCCAAAAACTCCAGCAACGGGACACAACATTATTTCCTTAAGCCTAACGAGATATCAGTTCGAAGCTACTACGCAGACTTAGCCCACGTCCCTGTCTCTCTGAAGTTGGATTTAGCCATAGCAGGAATACAAATTGAACTGCGGATTAAATTTGGACAACGACCAACGATGAACGACTTCGACCACAAATTTACGTTTGCGTTCAAGTCTTCATGTAACAACCAAACAGTTGTTAATACAACCTGCTTTACCAGAGATGGGTCAGTCACAGTGACGCCTTCTAAGCCGGGTTTCCTTTACGTGGGCCTGTTGTTCAAAGGCTCTGAGAATGAAAGTCCACATTCAAGGCAAAGAAGATCATGCTTCGATCATCGTCGCGAAAGACGGTCATGCGTTGGCGTTAAAGATCCACCACCGACAGGATTCCTTAAAACTATGTTTCCGCAATATGACCCAAAAACAGACGTTAACTACACTTTAACCATCACCCAATCAAGCTGTCTGTACTGGTCAGAGAAAACAGAAAAGTGGGCTACGGAAGGTTGCAGGGTAAAATAAATAATTGCAACGTTTTTTAACCCCTGAGAAATATGTGCATTATGAAGTCCTTCAAGCATCATTCTTGTTTTTCCACAACGAGGAAACCTATTAACTCTGTATTAAAAATATATCAATTGCAAAAAAAATTTTTGATAACGAAATTGCGGGATTTCACAGTCGAGAAGCCACTCCTAGACAGAGGCGGCTTTTTAAACTTCTGTCAAAACTTAGCCATATTCAATATCACTTTCCGATTTCCCAAAATTCGTTTCGTTGAATGTAGCTGAAATTTTGAATGACATTTATCTCCATAGGTCGGCCAAGATTCAAACGCCACGCATCTTGTATGCCTCTGCAATCATTTGACATCCTTTGGCGGAAACTTCATCCAAGCGCCAAACCCAATTGACTTTGACAAAGTATTTACTGAGTTCTTAAACCTTGCTGAAAGTGGCAATATCTCAGTACTTGTGACAATTCTTTGTTGTTTCCTTCTGTACTTCGTCGTCTTAATCTTTGCAAGGAGAGCCGACAAGAGAGATGAAGACAAGGTATGTTCATGGCTGCTAGTACGCCTAACTTGATATCTTTATTCCTTCATACATTGCTTTATAAATTGACACAGTTTTATTTTTAACTTACTAATGAAACAGCAGTCAAACTTTATACTTTCTTACCGATAGATGTCAACCCTCAGATGAGTATTTTGGATTATTTTCACACCAGAATCAATCATTCTTTTCAGATTTGTCCTCCTAAATTGATATCAGTTGTTAAGGAAGGAACATATTACTACGATATGGTTATAAGCACTGGCGTTTGGAAACATTCAGCGACAACAGCAAATATAACCATTAATATCAAGGGCGAGAATAACGAGCGGAGTCAAATTCCATTGCGAGAGGAAGGGGACACGAGCGAGTTTTTCGAACGAGGTAGTATCAACGGCTTCGTTCTAGCGATGGCTGAATCCATTGGTACAATAAAAGAAATTACTCTGGATCACGATAATTCGGGAGATAATCCGTCCTGGTTTGTAGAGACTGTGGTCATCAAAGACCGGCAGACAGAGGAAAGGTGGGTATTCCCCATTAATAGATGGCTTGCTTTGGAGAAAGACGACGGTCAGATAGAGGTTACTATGGACAGCACAACTTACTCCGCCTTCTCGGCTCAGGTTTGTTCGCGCTTTGCCAGAAAAATTGTCGACAGTCACCTGTGGATGTCGGTGTTTGGAAAAGCATGTAGCAGTACCTTCACACGTGTGCAAAGAGCTTCTTGTTGCCTTTCAGTTCTGTTTAGCGCAATGATAGCTAATGCCATGTTCTATAACAGTGGTGGTGAATCCGACGGTGCTATACAGGTTGGCCCATTTTAGTTTTCTTGGAGACAGATAGTCATCGGAGCACAAAGTGGCATAATTATTGCTCCCATAAACATAATTATTGTCTTCCTGTTAAAGTCTAGCAAACCAAGGCAGAAAAGGAACGAAAAATACCAAGTGACAGACGAGGCCCATCGACTTTTGGATGAAATAACGGATACCGGCTGTATGCTTCCTCATTTCTTTGTCTATCTAGGCTGGTTTCTCTGCTTCTGTACCACCATGGCAGCGGCAACGTTTACTCTGTTTTACAGTTTAATGTGGGGAAAGGAAACCTCTGAGCAGTGGCTTGCTTCAATCTTGATTTCTAATGGACAAGATATTTTTGTTGTGCAGCCCACGAAAGTTATGATAGCGGTCATCGTTATTTCCTTTCTACTGACCAGAAAGAATAAAGGCCAATGCGCTGAAGAAGAAAAAGAGGAAATTTCAATCGATCCACATGCAATTGAAATTGATTTTTTGAGGGATGATCCCAAACAGCGCTTTAAGAGACATCAGCGGGAAAAGATGAGGGAGAGATCAAAAAGAGAAGCTCAGTTAACAAGCATGACAAGAGAGATTATTCTTCATCTGATATTTATGTTTCTTCTGGCTATCGTATCTTATGGAAACAAAAATGGAAATCGTTTTCTGATGACAACGGAGACGAGGAATCAGTTCTCTAAATTCAATGTGGTAAGACTCTTTTTTGGCAAAACACACTTTCTAGTTTACAAGTAAAAAGTATTTTTGTTGTTTTTATCCTTTTGCAAGACAATCCTAATGCTGTTGAAGAGTTTTAGATTTGTGGATTTTTGGACAGAAAAGTGGGAATCAAAGTCAGTCACATAACACCTGCAAAAGCCTTCCCACACTTGAAAAAAATTACCTTTTAAAGAAAGATTAAAATTGGAAATAAAGTATTAATTACCGCAGGTGAGCTGCGAGTAGAGAAATTGCAAAATAGAGGCCTTCAAATGACCTGGCTTCGACAGAACTCCAATCTGTGCCTCTCACGTACCAGCTGGGCGCTACTATTAACTGAAGTACGAGGCCATATATTAAGAGCAAGGCCAATTATGGTTGCTGCTTCGTTCCGTGAATGAATCCGAACACATTTCATTAAATTCATAATTCGATTTAACAAAAAAATCCTCTATTTAAATCAGGTGTAACAAAGAATAGTGTTGTAGGATCTGCCTTTTGTTTTGTTCTTGTTTGTGTTTATTTGTTATTTGACAAAGATATCAACCTTAGCAGACAACAATGTCAACCCCATTCATAGCCATCTTTTTATTTTAGGTATATGATTCACACAGATTTGAAACATGGTTAAGGAGTGAATTCCTATCAAACATTTATAATCAGGCGTGGTATAACGGACTTAAAGAAAAAAATTACGTGTACATCTCAAACAAGATGTCGATGCTGGTGGGTATGCCCCGGTTGCGACAGCTCAGAATTAAAAAAGGTAAACTCAGTTGAAATTGATCATTTTTACGTTCACAATAATCCGAAGAAGCCTCATGTTGTAAAGTGAGGAGACAAATGCAATTCTTGAATTAGTAGATATGTGTATAAAATCTATCCTCCATCGTATTGGAAATGGTCAACGAAATGATTAACTAAGTCATAAAAGAACATTGGTTTTTAATCTTTTTCCATATTTTGAACTGAAGGACTATCAGAGGTTCACAATGTCGTGAACCAATTCAAATAAGAGTATCTGCATGTCCATGGTAGTAATTATAACCTCTAATGGCCACACTATTCCTTGGTTTCTAATGTGCTTAAAGATTCACCCTAACAATCAATTGCTTTTTCACAATGACAATAAATTTAGTTATCAGTCTTCTAGAACAAAGAGTATTAATCTCTGAGGGAGCAGTACTGGCACAGCGTCAGTTAAGCATACATTCTAATTCATCAGCAGCAACTATAATATCACAGTCATTCGAGATTCTTAATAATCCGGCTTAGTACTATACTATACATACTTTTTATAAAATGGCTTTTGTACTATTGGTTTGTTTCTCTGTTTCACTTCATTATCTTTTATAGAAGTTAAAGATTTTAAAAGATGCATTTTTTTGTTTCTTTGTATTTTTCCCTCAAGATACCTGCAGATCCCTTTCTAAAATGTTCTCATCTTGCTACTACGACTATTCCTCAGACAGTGAGGACACTACCTATCTAAGTCTTCCGGGCTGGAAGCCCCTTCCCCCGAATACGTCGTGGCCAAATGCCCTCCAATTGTGCCCGAAACCTTGGCGATACCAATCAGCAGCAAAACTTCGCAACGATCCCATCCAGGCGGCATACAATTCATATGAAGGAGGTGGTTATGTAGCTGTCATGGGTTATGACGAAAGTACTGCACAGGGTGTCCTAGACGAAACTATTGGGCACGGATGGCTCGATCGCCAAACTCGGGCTGTAATTCTAGAGTTTGCTATTTTCAATGTCAATACAAACCTGATTAGCATCGCTACATACTTTTACGAGGCCAAAGCTACTGGTGCAGCCTACCCTTCGAGGAAAATTGAAACACTCGAGTTGTACAGCACTGAGTCGGGAGCTCTGATGTTTTTCCTAATTGGCCAGTTTCTGTTTATGGCAATGGTCCTCTTTTACTTCATAGTTATGTTATTTCACCTTTATAGACAACGTTTTGGGTTCTTCAAGTCTGTTTGGAACGTAGTCGACTTTTTCATGATCATTTCCTCTGTGGCCTCTGTAGTATTTTATATGATCAGAGCTAAAACTGTTTTGAAAACTATCAAAGCTATTCAAGCCAATCCTTATGAAATCGTGAATTTTCACACAGCCTTGGATTGGCTTAACCTAGAAAATGCATCTATCGCTGTCGCTGTTTTTATGGTGACAATCAAGCTTCTGAATCTTATTCGTTTTAACCCACACGTGATTTACTTGTTTTCATCTTTCCGGCAATCCGTAGGCTATCAACTCTCGTACGTGTTCTTCTTTCTCATCGTGTTTCATGCATTTGTCGTTACAGGTATGCATTTATTTGGTGGTATAGTCCTTGAGTATTCTAGTTACCTCAATGCTGTCATGTCGCAATTCGAATTCCTGCTAGGAAAGGCGGTCCCATTACAAGCTCTGCGGAGCGACAAACCCTTTATTGGTCCGACGTTTGCATTTTTGTTTTGTTTATCTACAACTATATTCCTAATGAATATGTTAGTTTCTGTTCTTAATGAGTCTTACGGCGACGCCAAAACAAACGCCGAGGAAAGTGCAGAAGAGCTTGAAATGGCCCGCTTCATTGGCGAATGTGTAAAGGAAATGTTCCATGAAGGGAGTAATCGGACGGAATTTAGGTTGTTTTGTGATGAGACGACCTTCGTAAACATGTGCCTTTCTGAAGCAGAGCCATTCTGTTTGAATTCTGAAAGTATTATCCTGAGCACAGAGGAACGAATGGAAAACGTGGAGAAAAGACTGCCTGTTCTCACTAAACGAACAGAAAACATGGAAGCTGATCTTCTAAAGGAGGAAAATGACTTTATGAATCTTCTTTTCTCGATGGCAGATCATTTTCAATATGCGTTATACGAAGGATCGGAGCTTGATCCCTAAAATAGAAAGTCTACTCTATTGTATATAAGGATAGGCTTCAATTTTATGTTTTTAGTAAGCTTGCGGAATATAGAGACGCATTGTGCAAGAAATCTTAGGAACAGGTAACATTCCTCGTCTTTCAATATGGCTACTCGTAGATGAAATTTGCCAACTTGCTGGAAGTATCCCTTGGAAGTGTGTCACGGAGATTGAGGTTCGACTATAGGCAGCGATGATGCGAGTAAAGTGTAAAATTACCATCGTTTCACTCCCGGTGGAAGCTCTTTTTGTTAGTAAATTTAGCTTTCACCGATCTCATCTCCTAAAACCAAACAACGGATTTTAGTAACAAATATCTTCTGTAAATCACGACTTTATTTTAATACTATGATTCAATTCTTGGGTAATAATTCAGCTGATGTATCCTACAACTAAGAATTAAAGATTGATAACTGGTTAAATGATAACGTTGAAATGACATTATAACTTAACATTCTTTTTTAATATCAATAAACAAGAAAAGCTTAACAAATAATTTACTTTGTCAGTGTTCTCATGAAATCCATTCATTAATTCTAAATATGAGTCAACGACGTTTTGACATTTTTTGCCAGCAATTGACTGTGAAATCCAACATATGTTAACGGTATATGACGAAATGGACTGTTACATGACTGTGCCAGAGGACACAAATGTCATAAAATATAGTGTGAGCTTGGACCTCCAATAGCTGGAAAAACTTTCTATAACTCTGTCATAAACTCACTCATGATCAGTCAGGGACGGGCTAATACATTTAGAAGATTGGAAATGCTAAATCCTTAAAATTAATAGTGCTTGCCACAAATAAAATCCTACATAAATTCCTTTGTAGGCGCACACAAACACTTTTCAATGATATATGTAAGTTTCTTACTGGAGCATACTCAGAAAAAGGGGATCCTCAGTAGCGTTTTCAACTGAAGTCGACTTGGCAGCCTTCAGATAAGAAGTTTACAGGAAGATACCGCTGGGGAAGAAGGGTTTCCATGCTGCTCTTAAAACCTTTTCCCATCCCCTCCCTTCTCAGAAAAGCGTCCGTCCCTGAATTCTGATGGAAAATTTACAACCCAGTATCTTCCTCTTTCTTACGATCCAGGCCAAATAAAAGCGTTTTGATAAATTCTGCCATACCATATGCTTCTTCAAGCTTCTCTTCGTCGTCCTTTACATCGTGTAAATTGATATCAAGAATAGAAACAAAAATATTGACCAGAAGAATTGCAAGGGTGACCATAAAACTGGCTGTGAAGAGATTACCAAAGATTCTATTGACATCATCGAGTTGGACAACGTGAAAGGTGTTCCCAAGTGCTAGTTCAAATTCAGAAGCGAATGCGCGAATGAACGATGAAAATGAAAACACTGAACTACCAAAAACTATGTAAGCAAAATGCCCGTGTGCTATAAAGAGTATTCCGAAGAGAACGCTGATTGAGTAAATGTCATGTTTCGCAATGGCCAAAGTCCACGCTAGTATTTGAACCTGTGGATTAAGTCGAATGAAGTGAAGAATTTTGAAAGTAGCAATGAATAAAGCAAATGAAAGAGCAGTATTCTCCATCTCAGTCCAAAAAATTGCAAACTGAAAGCTTACAGTCACAAATGGATTCCTTTGCACTTCTTGAATACTGTCATGCATAAACTTAGCTTTCATAACGTAAAACACAACTGCAAGCAAGGCACTCACAATTTGACCAACATCTATCCAGTTCGATATACGCTTAAAAAATGCGCCCCCTTCGCGACAAAGTCTGATTAAAAGTATCGTGATATACACTAGTACCATAAAAATAAATATCAGCTGGCACATTAGGTAAAAGCTATAGGATATACTTTCAAAATTAAACAATTTAATGGTGTCGATCCTTTCGTAAGTAAGCCCAAATCCGAGAGGAAGAACTTCATAATGGTAAGTGATAATGCTCATTAAATTAGTGTTTAAGTTTAAGACTTGAAATTCAAGGAGAATCGCCCTTGTTCTTCTATCAATCCAGTCCTTCTCTTTCACAGCCTCCATCATACGGATGGCAGTCGGTTTATCGTATCCCAGATCGAGAACATATCCCCCACCGCCATATATGTGATGTTGAGCCCACGATGGAAAATTATTGAGCTCCTCTGCGGTTGAATAACGCCAAGGTCTGGGACAAAGTTGTGATAGATTGTTCCAGCTAAGCTGAGAATCTGACAAATGAACCCAGTGAGGAAGATAAAGACGAGTTGTATCCTCCTCTGACATCGAGTAAAAGTCGTAGCATTTGTAAATCATCTCCCTAAGCTCTTTCACAACGCTGCATGATTCTATTTGTTAAAATAAATCAATTAGAGACCAAATATTAGTTACCAACTGCAGGAGATGAACATAGTGGAAGACGTTTAGCAAAATAAATCAAATATAAATGAGCTCTATCTTAGTCCTAAATAAATGTACCAGGGAAATATTTTTCTCTTCTTCTCGCTTTACAACTTACAGCCATTGTGTTTATTTGGCAAGGTTATACTATTCGATCGTTTTAACAGAGTCCTCGTGTAAAAATAGTTCTATTCTTCTCTTTACAAACATGAAAAAAAAAAAAAAGATGACATCGACTGATACCTTCTTCTATCCTTAACTGTCGAAGGCGAGGCATTCCAATGAGCATAGAAGCTTTGTTGCCAATGTACTCTGTCGTCGGCTCAAACTGGCCATTGTACCAATCACCGGCGTAAGAGTCATGGATGAACTTCCCCAACATGTAATCCCACATTTTGTCGCCCGTATTTACCTACAAACAACAAAAATAACCAGTGGCATTTGATGTATTACGAATTGCATTAAATTGTTGATGTTTATCATTTTTTTTCTTTCATCCAGCTCTCACAGCATATCAAAAGTACAAGTAAAGAAGGAGGAAAAGCGACAGTTTCCGTAAACTTAAAATTTTCAATTTTTTAGCGGAAAAAACGTTAGCCCGCGAATTTATTTCACTGGCATAGAAAAACTTCCAGAATTTGATATGTCAGTTTTTGTCGATAAACTCAGTTTGGACTGTCATCGGTGCTATCAATGGGTTGAAGCATCACCAAATAATTTCTTTTCTGATGCAGCCTGGTGGAAGGTGATTGCAAAGAAAGTATCCGAAAATTCGTTACTGTTAAAATGCAGTTTTCACAAACCTTGTAAAAATAAGCGAAACCGTCACGGGTGGCTTTTGTCATCAGGTACCTATGATGACCCTTGTCTCCATAAGCTACCATCATCAAAAGGAGATAGAAGGCCAAAAAAGCCATAAATTGACGTGCAAATCTAAAAAATTTCGCCTTCCGTAATTCATAGGCACGTTGCTCCTGTATCTCCTCTGAAAATGATGTACCATCGCAATTTCCAGTTTCATCGGGCGGCTTAGGTCTTTGAAAAATTAGAATCAGTAACAAAGCTAATACCAGGACTTTACTAGGCTGCCAGATAAAAACATCTTCAACACAGGATACCACGACCGAAGCTAGCCATTGATCAGCAATTTCTTTACCCCATTGAAGGCTGTAAAAAACTGTAAACGAGGCAGCCGTGGCTGCTGTTGCGATACAGAGAAACCAGGCGGGATATACGAAGGTATGAGGAAGTAAAAATTGTTTCTTTTTGTTTTTGACATAGGACATCTCAGAAGGATTGTTATTTGAGTCGCTTTCTTCACTCTCTCCGTTCGTTTTTGCCTTCCTGAAGCGGAATAATGCAGTTATAAGAACACTCACTGGCGTAACTATCAACGTACTTTCAATTCCAATAACTAGCTGGCGGAGGGACATTTGCAGTGGTCCTATCTGGATCAACTCCTCGGAACCACCAACCACAAGATAGAACATAGCGTTACATACCATTGCCAAATACAGAAAAGAAAGGCAACAAGAGGCACGCTGAACGCGTGTGAAGGAATTGCGTGGTGGTCTGGCAACGACGGAAGCCCAGATGTGATAATCGGCCAGCTCTGCTGCAGCCAATGAGTGAAACATACTTTTAAACCCTGGGCTGTGCTGACCATTATCATGGGACATGAGAGTCACAGTAGTTGTTCCATTACCTTTGTGAAGTGCCAGCCAATTATGATGAAAGAAATCCCACTTTTCTCCTGTACTTCTTTCAACGATGTGAACTTGATCCAGGAACCAAGAAGAATTTTTTCCACTGTTATCATGCCACATTTCAACTTTAAACACACTTCCGAGCGGACTGTCACAGTGAAGGACGAACCTATCGATACTGCCTCTTGCAAACAGTTTTCTTCCTGGTGGACCGTTGCCAGTCAAGTTGACATCCTTAGTACAATTTTCAGTTCCGTAGAATTTAGCAAACACGCTTGAGGATGTGCCAGCTTGTCTCCACACACCGGTAATTATGGTCACATCATATTTGTGTGCGCTGTTCGCGTTGGATTTTATATTCACAGTTGGACCCAACTGCCAAGAAAAATTTATCATTATGCTATTAGACGACGGTCAATTACGTATCTCTAAGCAATTCCAGAGAAATCTATAAAATAATTAGTTATTAAAATTGTAAAACAAATTATTGTGATTTCCAATATTCTTACACAACTTCCAATGTGCAAGGTCCATCGAATTTGAAGGAAAGTTGTCAGTATCAACACGTTATAGCAATAATCCGCAGTTTCCATCGGTTAACCGGGAAATAACTCATTCCGCGCGGGATGTTGGAAGAACACTAGAAAGTTTGTAAATTACGGGCCAGAGGTGAGTAATTTTTTAAACTTTTCTAGTGTTTTCTCAACGTCCCCAAGTGGGTTATTACGTTGGTAAACCAGTACAAAGTCCGGTCTATTGTTTTTTTAAATATATAGATTTAAGACGAAACAAAGTATGTTAAAATTTTTCCTATGAGTCTACCAGGGCATTAAATGGTAGGATTCTCAGCAATCAGGGCGTTTGTAGCATTCGAGTCATTTTATAAATGCAAATAGTCAACGTACCTTTCTTTCATCTAACATATCTGCTTTTCTCGCCCAAATAATCACCAACAAATACACACCAAAAATGGCGCAGACAGTTGAAAGCACCACATAATTTCCTGTTTCACCGAGTCTAGTAAACTCTACAAAGACTTTGTCGAAATCAATTGGATTTGGTGCAATGAGGAAACCACCGGCGAACGCAGTAAGGTGGTTACACCTACAGTGAAGTAGTTGTTCGTTCGTCTCATCACCGACCTAAATAGGACAAGAAATAACGTTCTATGTTTTATGTCCAGAGAAACAAAAACATTTTTAAAATTACCCTAGTTCTCCCCACTAAATGTGTCGAATTGTAGGTTTGGCAGGGTCCAATGCTCTTCATTATTTTGGAAAGCTTTGGCTAGCGAGTAGCCTGGAAATTCAAACATTTTAGAAATTTTTCCTGCATCATGCTCAGTATTCTATTTTCATATTACCTCACGGTGTTATAATTTATCCACTTCTAAGAGCTGTGCCGTTATGGCTAATTCATAAAGCAATCTAGTCCAATCACTATTGATGAAGCTAGCCCATGGAGCAAAATGCCATGATATCGAAAATCAGCGTACAAATTGGTTGACACATCATGTCGGGAGAGTTCTTTTTATGTGAAGAATAACATTCTTGTTTCTACCTCACTATAAATCATTAACAGCCCCATCCCTCTCCTATTCACTGTTGGCTAAAAGTTCATGGAGTCACGATACAACACTGTTTCGGGGGGGAGGGGGGGGAGGGGTCGATTAGGTTAACTTAAAGAGGGCAAAAGTGATAAATAGAAGTAAAAAGGGGTTGAAAAGGTCAATTTGTCAACCACTTTGTCGCTGATTGAAGGTCTTATATTGGTCTTAACTGGACTGGATAAGAATAAGGCTAAATTATAGATGATTAAATGTAGAAGAGGTTGTAGTGTCGTATCTTAAAGTATGCATTCATCATGGAATAGATCGGCATGACTGAGTGTTCACTATAAATTTAATGTTGTGAAATTTATTCAAGTAATGTGAATATTGCTTAAAATGTTTTGTAAGTTGTGACCGTATAACCGGGATGTTGTTAGACTGTACAGAGGTGTTTTAGTGCTCTATTTATTCTCATTCTAACCTTGCAGCCGTCCTTACTCCACCTGTTTTGTGTCAAAGAGAAATAATAACAGCTGTATTTCTGAACTTTGACACTGTAGTTCTGATCAGTAGCGGGATTATAGGTTAATGTTCTATTGTACTCAATCCCTCTCACTGGAGGAGGCTTTGGCTCAACACAGTCCCTTCTCTGTCTCTTTCTTCCGAAGCATGACCGTCTAGTTCGGGTGTGATTTAGCTGACTCTTTTCAATATACAACACGCCGACATAGTATAGACCCGTCTGGTTAAAATCTCTAGTAGACATGACTTCGTATGGACTTGTGACACACTTAAGGACCAAATTACCATTGAGAGCATCATAACGGCAGGAAGAGTAATCAGGAATAACAGCGTAAAAATCAAAGTCGTTCAAAGTTGGTCGCCCTCCATGTTTAACATACACCACCATCATTAGACTTCTGTTGATTGGTTTAACTTCGAGGATGATGGAATCAGAAATGTCATCAAGCGCGACGATATGGTATCGCATGGTGAGTGGTCTGATGAAAAAATTATTTGAAGACGCGTTGCCGGAAAGGAGGGGTATTTTGATGTCGATATCGATGTCGACGTCATCTCCTCCAACAGGGAATACATTTCCGTTATCGTCACTAAACTCGAGGCTCAGTATTTCTGACCTCACTTCTTGGTGAGTTTGATGCCACAGATATGGATTGAACTTGGTATGAATAAGCTGTTAGAGAAAGATATAAATTTCAAATGAAACAGGTGACCAGAAAAGAGGCATAGAGGAATTTATAAGGGAGAAGAAACGTAATGGTAGACGAGAGTGAGAAGAGAACAAAAGAAAAGTGGAATCGAAAGTTAGGAGACAAAAGATATTTGTTGGAAAGCGAGGGAAATAAAGCGCAAGCTCATTATAAAACTCACCTGAAAGTCAATTGAATCTAAGTCTATTTCCCCAAATGCCTTCCTCATGTTGGGTGGAAGTACAAAACCCTCGCCTTCTGACCCGTTCAAAGTTTTTGACTCAAGTCCACAGGAGGTTTCGCGACCCGCCGTGAAATCCAAACCCATCACCTGCATACTTCTCGGAGACTGCGAAACCGCTAATCTTGTCGTCAGAGTCCTGAGCAAGGTCCTGATGATGTGGATTGATTTCAGGACGATTTCCATTTCCTAGTCGAGCAAAGTTGAGAAGTCTCATACAGTATACCACCTAGGACTAGATTTTATTGAGTCGTAATGGATGTGGCGATGGAAATGGTAATAAAAAGAAGGGCTGTGTGGTAAGAAACCCTACAGTTCATTACATTGCTTCTGATGTAACTTTCAGTTCTCGTTTACGGTACAACAACAGCGCTGCTTCTTTCTGGAAAAAATGACCTGATGGACTTTGACCTACCTGACTACGGTTAGCGGCAGAGAGACCACTTTCCTTAGTTACTTTAGCTTCCTCTGCAGAAACCATAAGCAGTTCCACTGTCCCAAACAACATGTTATATACTCCTTGAGAAATATATCTTTCATCATTTGCGTTCAAATTACTGGCTTTGTTAAGTATAGTATCACTCATGTTTCCAAAAATCTGTGGCAGATACCTCTGTAAATGAATGTGACATAATAAACTCATGAAGTTTCTTTTGTTCATAAGATTCTTAGACAAGGACCACAAGATTAGCTAACATGTAGCTTTCTAGTTCAGTTGGTGGTATATGTAGTCAGTAAAGTTTCGAAGCCTGAACTGACACCGATTTCACCTTAACTTTAGGCGTCCCATGAACTTCAACGTTACTACTTTTGGTATTGCAAAGATCTCATTAAGAATATCCGTTTCTTGAAGATCATCGAGATTAATTGTCTGAAGACTAAAAAGAAACGATTTCCATACTCAGTCCAAACCTAGAGGCACTCATGTTAATCATCTCAATGATGTTACCTTACTGAGGTAGGACAACTTTGGTAAATTCCTTCCCGCTGAGGCCAAGAAAGCCGAGACGAATACCAAACCAGGTAGATCCTTAAACTCGTTCATCTGAAGTCTTCTAAGAGCAACGTCCCTTTGCTAAAGATTAAGTTACAATTAAGTGCAACTTAGCATAAGAGTACTTTTCTTTGTCGTGTATTTTCTTTCAGATGCAAGCAAAAGAAATTGGTTTAGACTTAAATGGAATGGAAATTCCTCTCCCCAAGAGGAGCACAAAAACCCTACAAGGCTTCAAAATTATAAATGTGACTGCATTCAACTTATTTTCAACGAAAATAGTCCAATGGTTTCAGTATTGATCATCATCCCAACTCAAATCATTTGAGCCACATGGGATCTCTAATTCACCAAGTGAAACAGAAAGTCGATGCTACTATCCACGTCGTCTTTGGCTGGATCTTTCGAAATCTTAAATACTTATCTTTTTCGATCTTAAGACACGTAGATTACTTTTTGGGTTTGAGCACTTACAGCAATTCTTTGCTGAAGCGATTTTTCCGAGCTACTACCATCGATCAACTCTTGTGCCTCCGTTGTCAGCAACATAGCTGTCATTAGCTGCCACGCCTTATGCGAATCCATTGAAAGGAGATAATCCTCAAAGGCACTCGTATTTTGAACGAGAAGCTCAAAGAGATCCGTGCTAGCATTTGATTTGGGCGGAGTGACCTATAAGAGAAAAATTTGCGTTTTATACTTATTTGTCTGATTTGAACTTAATGTGAGTTGAAACGATGTTTAGTTCCCAAAACATAGCATTCTGACTCGATATTTATCAACACTTAATCCGAGATTGCCAACGTCGGTAAGATTTCGAAATATACAAACTTATATTGCACTAGCAATCCAAGCAAGTTATTGTTTTAGAAATAAGTAGTGATATTAAGTCAACCTCTTCTCCACCAGAGGTGACCAAGAATATTTCCATACTACTTTTTGTTGTTTTGTTGAGTCCAACTTACTTTCTTTGCGTTGAATGTCTGATGAACGGCTCATACGAAGTAAAAGCAGAGTTTAAATGTCAGGAAAAATCAAACGACTTTAAACTTGTGATAGGGCTACAGTCCGTATGGTCTCTACGCCAATCACTCCCTCGCACGCATACTTATCGCTCTTAATATTCATGTAAGAATAATTACGTGTTGTAGAGCATGTATTGAATTCCAAATAAGCTGTAGAAATGTGAATCAAAATATCTTCAGGTCCCTTACCCTCACAGGAACATCCAACTCAGTAGTTGCCCCGTTGCTTCTTGAGATGAAGACTTTGACATTCGACCAATATCCATGAGAAGCATTTCCTTGAGGTAACACTAACTGTTGTTTGGCTGAATAACCGTAATAATAGGTATAGTATATTGAGCCTTCACCGGAGATTTGCACTTCGTATGTGAACGTTTCATTAGCTGCAAACCATCCGAAGCAACGCAGTTCAAATGAAGTATACACTGCTTCGCCAGTGTTGGGTGTTACAATGCAAGAGCCTTCTTTTGGAAGGAGTGCAGTCTTGAAAACTTGTACGCTTTTGGAAGGAGTCTCGTTTCCAAGTATCACAGTCAGTTCGAGTCGATATTTTGTATTGTCTTGCAGGATCTTTGGGTCAATTGAAAATACTTTTGTTCTCTCTGGTTGATTAAAGGTTTTTAACCAACCTGTATTATTGTCTTCCTGGTAAAGAATCCATTGATACTCTACATCATCGTTGCACTGGTAACCCATATAATCGGCCGAAATGGTCAGTGGAGCAGTTGAGATGACATTTAAACGGTCATTTAAAACAAAACTGTTGATGGAATAGTTATAAGCTTTAATCTAACTTAAGGTATATAATTTTTTTAGACTCCATATTGGTGAGATTCTCCAGGTCACAACCAATCTTTCAAGGCCCGGATGGTGCGTCCGAGACCTCAGATCTTCATAGACAGTGTGCACAAAGGAGCTAGATATAAAGCTTGTGTTTCTAACTTACAACGATCAAGTTAAGGGCTTCTTTGTCAAATTTGCATGTTTAAAATTGACAGAACGGTTTACTATAGGGCTTGATATATCGTGCTCAAGAGATGTGCTCCTTAAAACTCGCTTCTAAACTAAAGCAGCTAAATTAATACGATGTACTGATAACATACTGACTTTAATGACACTTCAGGGGGGTTTCCCTCCACGACTTCAACCAGCTTCTCATCATTCGCAGATCTCACGTCTTTTGTAACAAACAGTTTGAAGACATACGTTGCATTTGAACTTTCTAATAATGAAGCGTTCAGCATTACTAATGGTTCGTTAGAGTCCAATCTTCCAGTACCTGTTCCAAAACAGCCTCCACGTGATGGCTCAAGGGAACTCAAAGTAGTTGGTACAACTTGAAATACAAGCGGATGCTCAGATGGGAATTTTTCGCTCGACCGTCCGCAAATCCAATAAAATGTAAGCAAGTCCAGATGCCCTGGCCCAACAATGGGGTCGAAAGACTCGCTTCCATTAACAACGATCATCTGCGTATCTCCTTTCGTTATTTCAGTTTCACCTGAGATTATCGCTACCAATGGCGGTAGACGAAGGAGAATAAAGCCTTTGTCAAATGCAGTCCTTGTTACGTTATCCTCCTGTTGGACCACCGTGAAAGAGAAGATCAAAGTGTGTACCACATTTGCGAATTCTGCATGTTGCTTGGAAGGCTTCCAGTTTTTGGATCCTGATGACAGTATAGTCCCATTGGCGAGGGCTTCAAAATCGTTCAATGACGTATTTGCTATGATCCAAGACATGTTTTGTGTCCGTATCGTGGCGCATCGCAATTCAACGTTGGCTGTAAACGTGTAATATGAGCTGAGCTGAAATTCCATAGGTTGGTCAGCAGTGCGCCCCACATTAATTATTCTTACTTGTGGACTACCACACAATGAAGTCCCTTAGAGAGAAAGTAAAGAGACAGTTATTTATCTCAATGTTTTGAGAAAAAACTGCTATCATGACACTGGAAAATCAAATCACAGAGCATCATGAACTGTTTATGTAAGTGGGGAAACCGTGATTCTTAGTTTATGAACCGGAAGTAACTTGAGTAACTTTGATCAAAAAAAATATTCATCGATAAAGTGCCTTCTGGTTTCACCTCCACTTTCACATACAGTCTTACAAAATATTCACTTACCATAGCAGAGATGAGACTCTTTAGCTGAGCAATTGCACTCGTAAGACCCATTTAAGTTTGTACAACTGGAATTGGCAGAGCAACGGGCGGGGTCCTCGCACTCGTCTTTGTCTTCAATTTTACGTTAAAAACGTGGTTATATCAACATCATATTAGTTTCGATACATGACATTTAGTAAAAAAATACTTTTTCGTAAACGAGGTATATGTGCACTTTTTACAACGTAAATTGCTTGTGGTGGGAAGGAAATTCAATACAACAACGAATTTCCAACACTTTAACATGCATATTAAAGCGAGATTGTTGAAATAAGCTATTATGTAGTAGAAATAAAAAATGCGCATTAATTGCACGTTCACACGAGAAGCTTTCTCTTTGGGCATTTAAATTTTCGTTCACAGAATCCCAGGAGTCACCAGGCCGCAGGTTTCAAAATTAGTTCCAAATCTCACTCTTTATTTTCATTGGCCTCAAAATAAAAGATTCTTAAAATTTTTCCTCCAGTTTATTGTTTATTTATAAAGAAACATGACCATTTTTTAAGATTGACATGGTGATGTGATCAAAACATACAGAGAGAATTACAAAAGAATTACAAGCATATGAGTTACCAATGCAGCTGTTTCCATCCCAAGCATAGTTTTCCTGATGACAGAGGCACTTATATGATCCTGGAGTGTTTACACATTTTGTTATCATGTCATTACAATCATCCAGTTCCTGAGCACATTCATCAATATCTATGGCCGAAAAAGAAGGTATTTCCTCATAACTTCCACATCCAGTCTACATTACCAGAACAATGTCATATCTTCGATGAAACGTTGTTGCGAGACAAAATGATGCGAGTTCTTTTTTAGTACATAGTATCA